GCATGAGTTGGGGGGGTGATTACTGTCTCCAGCCCCCCAGGTGGAGGCAGCATGTTTTTAGGGTTCCAGAATCAATAGCAGTAGTTCTTCAATAGTGCAGCGGTAGGTGCAAGTTCCAGGTGTCCCCCCGGAGGCATTAGCAACCCCTGAGCTTGGGTAGCCATCCGGCTTTCTTTTTGCTCTTCACCCCCTTCTTTCTTCATTCAACCCTTCCAGCCCGTTTGCAACCAACCTCCTGTGTATTAATTCCTCTGTCCAAGATACCTAGAATCATTTTTTTTTAAGATTTTATTTATTCATTTGAGACACAGAGATAGAGAGAGCATGAGCAGGGAGAAAGGCAGAGGGAGAGGGAGAGGGAGAAGCAGGCTCCCCCTTGAGCCAGGAGCCCCATGCAGGGCTCGATCTCAGGACCCTGGGATCATGACCTGAGCCGAAGGCAGACGCTTAACCATCTGAGCCACCCAGGTGCCCCTCTTTTTTTCTTTTCTGACTGGTGCCTGGTTGATACAGACACCTGCTTGTAGGGTAGGGTGGTGATCTGTCACTCTAAGAGAGGGTAAAGAAATACCGGTTGTTATGAAAAAGGTCAATGATTATGTCATCCAGCTATCCATAGCTCCAGATGGTCCAATATTGGGCAGTGATGGTCCTGGGTGTATTTTTCCAGTAAAGGTTTTTATCCTGTTTGAAAGGAATTGATAGAGTAGCACAGTTGAACTGCTGAAATTGGTTTTATGCATGGATGGATTTCAGATGCAGGGCTGTTGATCCAGCATCTTTTACAACTACCGAATTCACAGAGGAAGAAAAAGAAAAGAAAAAAAATCCCCAAAGCTCTGCAATTCCCTGGCGCACAATCCTCTTCCATCGTGGCTTCAGAGTACGCATCAAATATAATAAAACCAGTGAGTCAGCGTTAATGGTGTGGCTAAAAGGGAGTGATCCCTCCATTCCTCCTAAACACTCTTGGCAGAGACTTTTTCCTGCCACGGGGCATTGGTGATTGTTCTAACAATGCCTGGAAGGGAGCCCTTTCCCGGTAAGATGGTAGGATTCTCTTTGGGGGTTTTCTTGAGCAATTTTAGCCATGTCCTGTATACATATGCAAATGCAACTGACCACAGCACTTAAGTATGGTGAGGTCTCGTAATTCCAAAATTACATAGCTGTCCAGGTTGGCTTTTGTCTGAGTAATCAGATAGGCCCATCTGCCCCAACAGTGTGAAGGCAAATGAAATGGGAAAGGCATCTTTCGAGGTTTCTCTCACATCAGGATAAGCAAAGGTGTGAGGAGGAAGTGTAAAAAATAAAAAAAATGAAAAAAATAAAAATCATTTAGCTCTCTGCTGTCCTTCATCTGGATGAACTTTAATGTCTACCTAGAGTTGAATATTAAATAGGTTGGTTCTATTTGAATTGTCTCGTTAATTTCTTGGTCCCTGTGTGCCCTGTCTGATTACACAACAGAAACAGTTGGGGCACTGTGTCTGAAAACACGTAAGATTTTACTGCCCATCCTGGTCCTAGCTCCCCTGTAGCTTCTAGACTAAAAGTGATAGAGCACACTGTTTATCAAGTGAAATCAGAGGGTTCCTGCCATATCTACAGGAGCCAGGAAAGACCTCCTGGGGTGATTCCTCTTGAAGCCTTCATAATTGAAAGAAGATCCCATTTAAGTGAGTAGCCAACAAACCAGAATCACAACATTTATTTATTTTTAAAAGATTTTACTTATTTATTTATTTGAGAGAGAGCGCTAGAGTGCACAAGCAGGGAGAGAGGGAGAGGGAGAAGCAGGCTTCCTGCCAAGCAGGGAGCCTGATGCGGGGCTCGATCCCGGGGCCCTGGGATGGTGACCTGAGCCGAAGACAGACGCTTAACCGATTGAGCCACCCGGGCGCCCCAGGATCACAACATTTGTAAACATTCATATATGCTGCAATTTGGTTGCTAATGCATAGGGGGGACTGGAGTTGAAGCGAACTACAGATCACTTGCTTGATTTCTTAGAAGTCGATTGCTGTAGGCATGGCCCCACCAACAACTCTGCACCATCCAAGCAATAAAGGGAAAAGATTAGCTGCTGTTTTGGACTCTGCTTTTAGCTCAGGTGTCACCTCCAGGAAGCCTTCTCTGCCCCTGAGAATCTCATTGATGGCCCCATCCTATCTTCTGTCCTAGTACCTTGAACTTGTGGCACTGTCTTGGGGTTCAGTTCCTTACCCACCTCTCCCGCTAGTGTGTGAGTGTCCTGAGGTTAGATGCCGGCTGCCTCTGCCTCTCATAGGCACTCAGAAAATGTGGAAAGAACATAGCAGTTTTGTTGCGGACAGAATACAGATTGATGATGTCACAGGCAGAACTTCTTGCCGAAGCATTTCCCTTATTTCCACTGGCTCTGAACTAAAGGCCTGGAGAAGGCAAAAAGAAACTGCATGGTAGAGAAGGAACAAAAGGGAATCATCATGGAAAAGATAAGAAAAGAGGACTCAGGGGGCTTGGTATGACTGCTTTACTAAACAGATACCATAGATGTGATTGGAAAATCCAGGATCGTGTGCTCTGCAAAGTTAGGATAAATGAGCAACCAATTATGACCTATGCTTTAGAGGCCCATATTCCATGTCATTCCAGTTCTTAGGACAATGAACTGAAATCCAGATTTTCCTGAGCTAAAATGTGAATGGTTTGTGATGAGTTTAACTATAGGGCCAGATTTCTTCCAAAACCTGCCCTTCTGCTGACAGATGGAGAAGAAACATATTATCAGAAAGGCCCCAAAAGGAAGGCAGTTGTTTTTTCTGCTTGCTTTCTGGCTTCTGCTGTAGGTTTTGCCACTAACCAGTGTCCAGGGGGAGTTCCTGCCGTCTTCCTGAGAAAGCCCACTGAGTCTGCAATTGAAACTTGGCCTTCCAGGCTTTCCTTTCTCCTCTGACCTATGCCTCTGCTTACAGAATGTTTGTGAATGCTTTCATCTCCGTCTCTTACTGAGAGGGAAAAAGATGGAGAAAGCGGAGAGGAACATATCTTTTTGATATTCATCCATTCAACAAAATTTTGTCCATTGCTGAAGGCTCAAGCAGAGAGGTAGTGTGGTGGAATTGATGTAGGAGCTCTGGAATCAAACAGACCTGGATGTGAATTCTGGTTCTGTCATTTACTAGCTGCCTAAATTACTATTCGCATCTGCTAAACTAATCTCTCCCCGCTTCCGTTTCTTCCTCTGTAAAATAGGAATAGTAGCTACCCGTGCTACTTGGTCTTTTGGCCAATCTTGTGGGCATGGCTCCGTGGTTTTCTCCATCCTCTGTCAAATGGCAGAGATTTCTCCATTTGCAAGAGGCAGTTTGCTTGTCTGTCGCTAAGAACAATGTGTAATAAGGTCTAGGATTTTCCATTCCCAAAAGATATTTTAGTCAAGATGTATCAGTCAGTGTCTCAAAGGTTGTGTCCCATAATGGTCTGTCTTTATTGCTTACATCTGGTTGTGAAATCTTGTTGCCAGGTTGCTACAAGGAAATGTCTTTGTCATAGAGCACAGGAAATCTGGTTCTTGGGCCCCAAAGCAGAGAGAAAAGCTGTCATTCGATGTCATGGCTGTCATGCCTAAGTTATGTTCATGGTGCTGGGTAGTGGATGAACCTTTTTGTCTGTTCCCCCTGAATCAAGGGAGGATCACGGGAGGAAGGAATTATGTACGTCTTCCTGGACCTTTAAAACAGCTCAACAGTCATGGAGAGTAATATCACCATGGAAGAGCTAAGAAACCCATGCATGTCATAGTTGATTATTAATTACTGCTATCGAGAGAAAAGAAAGGAATTTTGCTGGGGGGGAAAACTATTCTGATTGAGGTTTGCCTCTTAAGAGTTTTGAATTTTTGGATAACTGGTTTCTAAAAACCTATTTATTACTTCGGGAGCTTGGCGGGAAGAAGGGTGTCTCCTTGGTCTTTGGCCCCCCTAGTTCCCTGTAAATATTAACTTGCAGGGTTGTTGTGAGGATTATTGTAATGGTTAAAATAACACATCTTTGGTGTGTATCCAAAAGATGATGTGCCCAATGGTAGTTACTATTAACACAAGTTGTAGTACATAAACACTAAGCAAAAGAGAGGCGGATCACTCAGGCTTTCTCTAGATGATTACCTATTTGGTTAACTTCAAACCTTTTGACATGGTGAAAGATTAGGACATGGGGCCCAGGAGAAAGGGGCAGGACACGTGATGAAGTGGTAAAATCAAAGGCTTTGGCACCCAAACGAGCTGCCCTTAAACCTTGTATTTCTTCTTCCTATGCTTAAGCTAGTCCCTCCTCCTGAGTCCCGGTAAATTGGAGATAGCGATGCCTATCACTGGGGATGCCACGAAGGTCAGAGACAGTCGGTGAGGTGCCTGGAACTGCTGGGCCTCGGAAGCTATTGTTGGATTAGAGTGGGACCTGCTCCTGGGACCTGCCCCTGGGACCTGTCGCCAGGAATGCTGCCCAGGCCGGACGACCGGGGAACGGGACCGGCAGCTGGGGCCAGGGGCTCCGGTTGAGGCAGCCCGGGGTGGTCGGGTCGCGCGCCCAGGCGGAGGCCGAGAGCTCCCTCGGGCCTTCCGTTGGCAGTCTGAGCTGCCTCTGCACTCGCCGAGGAGGATTAAAGCCAGATGTGGCGGGGGGGAAGAGGGGCGGCGCGGAGACGCCGAGCTCTCGGAGCCTGGGACCGGAGACCAAGACGCAGCTCCAGACCTCGCCGTGACATTAAATGCAGCGGGGGAAGGAAAGGGATCGCAGGAGAGTTATATAGGCTGCGAGACGGCGCCCCTAAATGACAGCCCGGCAGGCCACTGACGCGAGCGGCTGGGCCGCGCGGGGGCGCCCGGTGGAGGGCGCGCAGCACCGGCGGCCAATGGCTGGCGGGGTCGCGGGCGGGGCCGACGGGCGGGGCGGCCGCGGCGCTCCAGCGGCGGGGGCGGAGTCGCGCTGGGGAGGCGGGGCACTCGGCAGCAGCAGCGGCTGCAGCGGCGGCCACAGCAGCCTCGGCGGCGGCCGCGGCAGCACTGGCAACGCCAGCGGCGGGTGAGGGGCTCACGGCTCGCGGCGGCGGCGGCGGCGCGCGGGCGGCCTCGAGGTGGGGGCGCAGAGCGGCTGCGCGGAGGGGCGCGGGATGGAGGGGCGGTGCCGGCTGCTGGGCTCCGAGCCGCCGGGGTCGCGAAAGATCCACCTGCTGGTAACGGAGCCGCCCGCGCCGCGGCCCGACCGGGAGCTCGCGCCTCCGGCTGCTGCGGGGCCGGATCGGGGCGCTGGCTGGGCCTTGGGGCGGGGCGCGGGCCGGGGCGCCCTGGCCGCGGGGTCAGTCCCGCGCCACCGCCGCCGCCGCTACCGCCCCTCGGTGCCGCGCGCTCTCGCGGTGGCCGGCAGGGCGCCTGGTGCGTTTCCCGGTGCTCCCCGGCGCAGCGGGGCTCGTCGACTTTGGGGCAAAGTGGAGGAAAGTGCGGGCTTAGGGGGTACTGGGGGGGGAGAGAGAGTTGCCCGCGGGACCCGGCCGCCAGGGCCCACACCCGCCCCGGGGTTGGAGCCTTTACAGGGCCGGGGGCAGGTGAGGCGGGGGCCAGGAGGTCCGGGGCATGGAGGCAGGGGTGCTCCCGCCGAGGCGGAGGCGGCATGCAGCCGTCGTAGCGAATATTTCTACAAACTGAGGGTGTGAGGGTCGGGTGTGAAAGAGCACCCCCATCCCCCCAGGCCCCAGTTGTCCTGAAGGGGGAAGCTGCAAATGGGACCCTTAGGTTGGGTCCGGGTGATTGCACACAAAGTGTACCAGGTGACACCTCCGAGGCGTGTTTTAGGAGCTGGCAGTCATACCGCTTGCGCGCCCGCTTTTATTTCTCGCAGCGTGTGTTTCTCTTGAGCCCGTTCATTGCTTACAGTCCGAATTGCGAAATGTAAGCAGACATAATGTATGTTTTTAATGCTTTCCATGGATTTTGCTGTTGTGCTTTTGCTGTCGGACGAATTCTCGTGAAAGATAATGATAGCGTCGCTCGGTGGCATACAGAACCTACATTTAGAATCAAATACTCGTTTTGTGGTTTATCTTTCTTTTTCTGAATGTTAAAAAAAATAGTTTTATTAACAGGTTATCGTGGCATGGGTTTCTTTAGCCCGCACTTTTAAATCCGAAAATGTACTGGACGATGAAATTATGTAAACTGTATTAATGAAAGATATTAATCCTTTGATAAATTTAAAATAAATGAACATAATTACTGTGTATAAAGTTATATAGCTTACGTCATGGATTTCATGCTTGTGCCTTTCTTCAGGCACCTCTGTCCTGTCTGTGGGATAATGAGGGAATATGCCAAGTGTTCAGCAAAGCGTTCTCAGCCATAAGATGTATTGAATGTTTCAGAGAACACTTTAAATGAAGGTTTTTTTATCTAATAATAAAACAATAGGACTGAAGCCCTTAAAGGACAGATGAAACAGATTTTTCAGTCTGAGGTCTAGAGTTGAAGTTCCATTTGTCTTTGGCAGGATGAAGAAGATGATTAGTAATTTTAGCCACCACCTTTTTTATTGTTAAAGATTCAAATATGTTAAGTGATAATCTCAGAGCATTTAGGTGTTGGATTCAAATTTTTGCAAATGTGGACACCGATAAAAATGAGTCACTTTGTTTCCTGCCTTAGGAAGTCAGTCAATCCAGAGGGCCCTTGGCTGTCCAGCCTGTGACTGCCTCCTGGTTGAAGAGCATGGAGATCATTAGTTTTGCTTTGGTCTGGAGTCTTCACTTGTACTGTGCAGTTAAACTTCATTAGTTTGGAAACCCTAATTAAAATGTATGACTACATTCTTACTGAGTAAAATGCTCTTACATTTCTCCTGCAGAATTTCAAGTCTTATTTGTTAGTAGAATTGATAAGTATCTTCTTCAGAGCTTAGTAGCTTCCTGGATCTAATTTTTAATATTTGGTATATTTTTCACATATTACTAATAGTATATCTATAGTCTACTTTGATTTTAGAAGTCATTCACTTTTACTGTATACGGAATTTTATCATATGGGCTTTCTTTGTATTTAATAAAACTATTTTAAAATATCCTTTATGATTCCTTCTCTACTTCCCCGTAATAATTAATTGGACATTTACTCTAATAACCTGTATACTTTTAGGTCTTTCACTAGGAAAAAATCCTTCCTGAAGTAGGGTGCGGCTAAATATGTGGCAACAGAAAGTTATACACATTTTTATATAATGTCACACCAGGATTATAATTCTACATTATATAATTCACTGAGTTAGCACATCTCTTTTTATAATCAGAACTCATTATTGGGTGCTTATTGATATAAGACAATATATTAGGCACTTTTAAGAATTTAGTTCAAATTGTAGGATTTTGCCACAAAGATTTTAAAGTCTAAACCATCAATGTGAACGTGTTTGATGTTAACTTGTCTTAACTACAGAAAGTGAGTCACTTTGGTTGTAGAAAATAGTGCTAACTTTTGAGAATACCTTTGGAGTTCTTTGTTTTCAGATAGTAAGAGGAAGCAAGGAAGTAGAGGGGTTCAGTGCTTCTAGAATATTATGCCGCAGTGAGAGCTGCTGGCCAAGGAGGGTTAAAAGGCATGCTTGGGCGGGGGGGTGTGGGTGTGTGTGTGTGTGGTGGGGGAGGGGTGCTTAGCCAGAGGTTACAGGAAGTGAGAAATTTGTTTAAAGTCTTAGGTTTAAACTTGGAAATTTCCTATTAATTTTGCAGCTTATTTCATAATAGATCCATATTCGTTATAGAAGAGAACATTTTTGAAATTCACACACTGTTGGATAACGTTAATACCTCAGGAAGGTTCTCTAGACAGGGAGTGGCCCTAGCACTTCTCTTCCGTCCTTACAAGGTGCAGGTGGCCCAGTTTGAGAGGCAAAGGGCGGTAGGTAAGATTAGTGTTCCCTCTCTGGGTTAACAGTGCCTGTCTCATTACACCTGAAACTAATGTAACATTGTGTGTCAATTATATTTCAATTTAAAAAAAGGCCTGCCTCTTAGGGTTTTGTTGAAGATTTAAAGCATATAATGAAGCATAGGAAACACTCAGTACCTTGTTGCTTCTGTCATTGTTACCATTAATACTATGCCCTAGACTAGCAGAGATTTCTAGTTACTATGTTCAGTTTTACAAAGTAGCTGAGATGGTGGTTTCTGAATTGCCTCCAAATGGCTACTTTAATCAGACATACTTTGTAGCTGAGGGAATTGTCCCTTGGGCTTGTTAGGCATTTTTGGAGGTGCATTAACTCACCCCAGTAGAGCGTGTCTTAGTATGTTGCCATGTGCATCTTATGGTCCCTTTGAGGCCACTGGGAATCAGTGGACATCTTGGAGTGACTGACATGCCCCCAGGGAATGAGACTGGCTTTGCATAGTGCAGACCAAACCCTTGGCTGGCTGCAGTTTTTTGTTTTTTGGTTTGTTTGTTTGCTTTTATTTTTTAACACAGTTAACATTTATGGAGAACCTATTAAGTGCTAGGTGACTATACTTAAGTACATATAAGGACTTGATTGAATTCAAATTTCTCAACAGCTCTGCTAGCTGGGTGGTGATCTCCAGATTTTCTGAGTGAGTGTTCTGGTTGGGTTGCTGCATTTTCTACATCCTTTCGTATTCCCAATTGACACCTTGGGAGCCGGTTAATCACTGGAACAACTACATTTGTTTTATGATAATGATAAATGGCAATAATAACTGTGACCTTTCTATTTAACATTATTTGTGTCCTAGAAGTGGAGCCAGGACAGGCGGTTTGCTCAATTTTATGGATGAAAAAGCAAAGCCTAGATCAGTGGCACACCTGAGGTCCTATATAGAATGATATTGCCCGATCTAGAGCCCAGGTTTTTTGATGCTTGCATGTTGTAGTCTGTCAGTTTTTCTTAAAAATTTTCAAAACATTAACTATTATTTTGCAGTAGGAAAACTGAGGAGTGTGACGATTATATTACTTAGGAACTGTTGTGTGATCCTCAGAGTTATCAGCTTGGAATCTGTGGCTTACTATTTGTTTAACAAGCCCTGCAACTTCTCCCTTTAAATAATGAACCATAACTTTCTTTTTGCAGACAAAACAGAATCAATGAGGAGGGAATATAGTTTGAAGCTCTTTTTCTGGAGGAGAAACACCATATGATTCTAGAATATAATAAATGAATTGGTTAGATGCGGGGATAATCTTTGTAGATGGAGGTTAGCCCAGCCAAAAGTATGTTCATAATGGTGAATGATAAATGAAGAAAATAATATTTTGCATTATTGGACAAGTTTTTCTTTCTCTTTTTTCCCTGAATAGGAAGAAAGAAGCCTGAGACAGCAGCCTATGAAGACTGTGAAGACAATCCTGAATAGCAATTATGAATGGTGTTGCTGCTAGGCTTGTTCTGCAGAGCATCTGAAATGAACCTCTCTTATTGATTGTTTTTATTGGCCCAGAGCCAGGATTACTGGATTCAGTTGACTTCAGGATTAAAAAGAGAACAGTCCTGGTTATCATCATAAACATATGAACCAGTGTGATGGTGAAATGAGATGAGGCTCCGAAATGGAACTGTAGCTACTGTTTTAGCATTTATCACTTCGTTCCTGACTTTATCTTGGTATACTACATGGCAAAATGGGAAAGGTAAGGCAAATATCTCCAAAAATGTGCATGAAATGTAGTAGTAAAGGGTGCATAAATGCTTTGGTTAAGTACCCCAACAGTCTGCATGTTGCATGCTCTCTGCTGGTGGCCTGCTAGTTTCTTTCTGATACAAAAATGTATTCTTGGACAGAGGAGACAGAATTTCTAATTTCAATGGGGTTTGTTTTCAATTTCTTATAATTGCACTTGGAGAAATACATACTGATCAGTGGTTATATTATACATGGCAGCCAAGTTGAATAATAAAGACTTTTGTTTTGGCATTTTATTTTTATTAAACATCATAAATATTTAATAAGCTTCCTTGTACTGGATGTTGTTTAAAGTGCTTAAAAGGACACAATCAGCGCCTTCATGAAATTAACATGCTGATTATAGTAATGATTTGGTGCTGTGTAGTTAATGATTTAAACTACATGTGTTGACAGATTGCTCTTCGGGCAAGAGTATTTATGAAGTGGGTGAGGATAAATTCTTAAAGATTGGAAACAAATTTTAAGTTTATTGTGTTTTACTGTTGAATTATGTCTTTAAGGAAGGTTATTTGTTAAGTGATATTCAGGGATAATGCCTTTGCTTTTTTTTTTTTTAACGTTATTTATTTATTTATTTGAGAGAGAGCACACATGCATGCACAGGGGGAAGGGCAGAGGGAGAGGGAGAGAGAGAAAATCTTAAGCAGGCTCCATGCCCAGCACAGAGCCCGGCTCCAGGCTCAGTCTCACAGCCCTGAGCTCATGACCTGAGCCAAAATCAAGAGTTGGGTGCTCAGCCTACTGAGCCAAGCAGGTGCCCTCATTCCTTATGTTAATCTAGGGAATGTTGATGGCAAAGAAGGATGGAAGTACATATTTGGTTTTTTAGAATCAAGTTAGAGTAGTCATCATCACCAGGTTATTTGAGGGTCCTATTGCTGGCGTTATTTTATTAACTTACATGAAGATAACTGAAAAGGTGCATTCGTTATTAAATTTGCCTCTGGCATGTATATAGATATGTATATGTAGATGTGTATATATCTGTGAGTACATATGTATAAAATAAGCTGATTAAAGTGGAAAGCATATGATCTATTCTTTAAGCAAGTATACTATCTCCCTTTTTTTTTTTTCTGAGTTGGGCTGTAATTTTGAGAGGAGCTATACCAGGGAGAAATGAATGAAAAACTTGGTGAAGACCCTTATTCTTTGTGGACAAATATATACATTTTAGATTCCGTTTTTTAATTGTACCAAAAGGAGAAGACATACTTAGGAAGACCTTTGACTAGTTAATTTAATCAAACTATTGATTGTCCCAGACATGACCAAAACAGATGACTGGCCTTAAAAGTTTACTTATGAAATAAGAGAATTGACCATAAGGGGAATATATGGATTTTTTTCTTATCAGGAAACTTATCTATTCAGAGTTATAGTCATGGAGAAATGTGATCCTTCTCACTGAGTCTTATGTAAGGGATTAAAATTTTTGTAATCTCCATTCCACTTGTTTCTTGTGTAAAGGCATTATAAGCATTATTTTCTTTTTGTATTAAGCTGTCTTTAGGGGCGCCTGGGTGGCTCAGTTGGCTAAGCATCTGCCTTGGGCTCAGGTCATGATCCCAGGATCCTGGGATCGAGCCCCATGTCACTCTGCTCAGCGGGGAGCCTGCTTCTCCCTGTCCCTCTCCTTCCGCCTCCTACTCCCCCTGCTTGTGTGCTCTCTGTCAAATAAATAAATAAATAAAATCTTAAAAAAAAAAGTTGTCTTTAGAATCAAGATTAAAAACATATAAATATTCTTTCATCCTGTGGTATTAGATACACACAAAGTCCATTCTCTTTGATTATCATTCTTTGACCACCTCTGTAATCCTTTCTTGCATATTCTTCTGCTCTGTTTTTCTGCTTAGTGTTTTGTCCAGACTTTTTCAAGTATCAACAGAGGACTCCTGTTATGGTTATGTAAGATCCTCTGTCTTTTTTATTTTATTTGTTTGTTTAAGATTTTATTTGTTTATTTGAGAGAGAGAGAGAGAAGGAGAAGCAGGCTCTCCGTTGAGCAGGGAGCCCGTCGTGGGGCTCAATCCTAGGACCCTGGGATCCTCACCCGAGCCAAAGGCAGATTCTTAAATGGACTGAGCTACCCAGGCACCCCAGTCCTCTGTGTTTTAATGCTATCATTTATGTAACTGATCTAACTGCTGAGCATTTGGATTCTTTCTAGATCATTCTGGCAGTCAGATAGCCTGGATTTTCCAGAGCAGTCCTGATCTCAGATATTCAGTTCTAGTATACTCATCAACCATGTGCTCTGATTTTTATATTGAAAGTATGGTTTCCATAATCATTGACTTTGCTGGGCTAGTAGTTTTTATTTTTCATTCACTCATTGGTCCCTTTTATAGGTACCTGTCCTGCCTAGCACTGCATTAAATACTATGAATATGAAAGAAATAGGAAACTTAACACCTCTTGAGAAGCTCAGGGACTGGGAGGGGAAGATTCAGGTAAACAAAACAAATATGATACCATCAATAGACTGAGATAGAAGCAATAACACGGTGCTGGGGAAGCATATTGCATGTTATAATATGATTTGGTTTAATCCTTATAACAACCCTGGGAAGAATTACTACCCCCTTTCACTAGATGAGAAAACTGAGGCAGAGTGTTTGAGAAATTTGCCAAGGTCATACATTTAAGTGGTAAAGTGAAGTTTGAACTCTGTCATGCTGGTTCCAGAGATTATGTTCTTAGCTATTGGTCTGCTTCCCAGAAGAGCAGAGACTGAGGCTACTAATTCTTGAGTCACTTCAGGAAGAATAAATAGGAAGGTGATGCCAGGCAGAGTAGTAGACAGTGGGCATGTCAGGGAGAAAGAGCTCCTTGTGCAGCCACAAAGTTCTGAAAGGGTGTAGAGTATTTGTGCCTTGGAATTAGGAGACACTCAGTTTCATGGGCACATAGGACTCCTAGACTCTCAAGGTTTAGTTGGTAATCCCAGTGTAGTTCTTAACATATTTTTCATAGGTCTTCATTTAACACTTGGAAGAAAACATGAGCTGGTTCATGGGTTTGGCATAAGTTTGGGAGGATGTTAGAAACACAGCCAGGGAAGATGGAGTTAGGGCTGGGACACCAGTTTTAGCAGGGTATGCAGAATTAAATGAGGCAGAATTCCAATTATGTGGAATGGACAGGTTGGGAAAGTTGTAAGCAGACGTTGTGAGTGGGACCAGAGTTATTACATATCTCACTTGTAGCTGGGGTTCTCCTAATGAACTTCCTACTTTGGTCAGGCACAATCCAGAAATTGGGGAAGACGGAGCAAGCAATCTGTCTGTCCATAGGGACATAGAACATTCATGTACATGTTTCTGTGTGGATTTCTGTGTGGACATAGGTTTTCATTTCTCTTGAGTGGAATTGCTGGATCATGTAGTAACTCTATATTTAATCATTTGAAGAGCTGCCAGACTGTTTTTCGTAGCAGCTGGACCATTATGCATTCCTTCTAGTAGCGTATGAGGGTTCCGATGTCTTCACATGCTTTGACGACACTTATTATCTGGCTTTCGATTCTCATTCTAGTGGTAGGGAGATAGTGTTTTATTGTGATTTTGATTGGCATTTCTCTGATGACTAATGATGTCTGGCATCTTTTTATATACTTTTAGCAATTTGCACATATTCTTTGGAAAATTGTCTATTCAGATCCTTCGCTTATTTTTAAAAAGGGGTTATTTGTCTTTTTATTAAGTTATAAGAGTTCTTTATATATTCTAGATATGGTTTCCTTAGCAGATACATGATTTGCAAATATTTTCTCCCATTCTGTGGGTTGTCTTTCACAGTCTTGATGGTGCCCTGTGAAGCACAAGAGTTTTAAATTTTGATGAAGTTGTGTCCATTTTTGTTGTTGCTTGTGCTTTTGGCTTCATATCTAAGAGTTCATTGTCACATCTGAGATAATGAAAATTCTGCTATGTTTGCCTCTAAGAATCTTGGCCTTTGATCCATTTTAGGTCAGTTTTTGTGTGTGGCATGAAGTAAAGGTCCAACTTGGTTCTTTTGCATCTGGCTATCCAGTTGTCCTAGCACAATTTGTTTAAAAGACTATTTTCCCCCCCATTGAATGGTCTTGGCACTGTTGTTGAAAATCAGTTGATCATAAATGTATGGATTGGTTTCTGGACTCTCAATTCCATTCCATTGATATTCCTTCTGCTAGTACCAGGCTACCTTGATTATTGTTGCGTTGTAGTAAGTTCTGAAACTGGGAAGCGTAAGTTCTGCTACTTTAACTTTTTCAGGATTGTTTGGCTATTTTGGGTCCCTTGCAATTCCATGTGAATGTTAGCATCTGCTTGTCAATTTGTATAATGAAGTCAACAGGGATATGATAATCTATAGATCAGATTTGGTACCGTTACCATCTTAACAGTGTTAGGTCTTCCAATCCATAAAACATAGGATTTCATTTATTTAGGTCTTTAATTTTTTTCAACAATTTCTGTGTACATTTACACAGTATAAGTTTTATGCTTCTTTTATTAAATTTATACCTAAGTATTTTATACTTTCTGATAGCATTTTTGAATGGAGTTGTTTTCTTAATTTTGTCAATTTTCATCACAAGTGTATAGAAACACAATTGATTTCTGTATATTGATCTTGTATCCTGCAACCTCGCTGAGCTTATTTATTCTAATAGTGGATTCCTTAGGATTTTCTGTGTACCAGATCATGCCATCTGTGAATAGAAATAATTTCACTTCTTCCTTTCTAGTCTCAATGCCTTTTATTTCTTTGTGTTATTTAATTTTTCTGGCTAGAACCTTCATTTCCGTGTTAAATGGAAGTGATGTGAGAGCTGACCTCCTTGTCTTGATCTTAAGAGGAAAGAAGCCAGTCTTTAAATTTAAGTGGGTGTTAGCTGTGGTTTTTAAGTAGATGCCTTTTTTTTTTTCCAGGTGAAGGAAGTTGCCTTCTATT